CTAACCCCATACACAAAAGTAAATTCAAAATGGATCAAAGAACTGAATGTAAGTCATGAAACCACAAAACTCTTAGAAAGAAACATAGGCAAAAATCTCATGGATACAAACATGAGTGACTTCTTCATGAACATATCTCCCTGGGCAAGGGAAACAAAAGCAAAAATGAACAAGTGGGACTATATCAAGCTAAAACGCTTCTGTACAGCAAAGGACACCATCAATAGAACAAAAAGGTATCCTACAGTATTGGAGAATATATTCATAAATGACAGATCCGATAAAGGGTTGACGTCCAAAATAAATAAAGAGCTCACACACCTCAACAAACAAAAAGCAAATAATCCAATTAAAAAATGGGCAGAGGAGCTGAATAGACAGTTCTCTAAAGAAGAAATTCAGATGGTCAACAGACACATGAAAAGATGCTCCACATTGCTTGTCATCAGAGAAATGCAAATTAAAACCACAATGAGATATCACCTCACACCAGTAAGGATGGCTACCATCCAAAAGACAAACAACAACAAATGTTGGCAAGGTTGTGGAGAAAGGCGAACCCTCCTACACTGCTGGTGGGAATGTAAATTAGTTCAACCATTGTGGAAAGCAGTATGGAGGTTCCTCAAAATGCTCAAAATAGAAATACCATTTGACCCAGGAATTCCACTTCTAGGAATTTACCCTAAGAATGCAGCTCTCCAGTTTGAAAAAGACAGATGCACCCTTATGTTTATTGCTGCACTATTTACAATAGCCAAGATATGGAAGCAACCTAAATGTCCATCAGTAGATGAATGGATAAAGAAGATGTGGTACATATACACAATGGAATATTACTCAGCCATAAGAAAAAAACAGATCCTACCATTTGCAACAACATGGATGGAGCTAGAGGGTATTATGCTCAGTGAAATAAGCCAGGAGGAGAAAGACAAGTACCAAATGATTTCACTCATATGTGGAGTATAAGAACAAAGGAAAACTGAAGGAACAAAACAGCAGCAGAATCACAGAACCCAAGAATGGACTAACAGTTACCAAAGGGAAAGGGACTGGGGAGGATGGGTAGGAAGGGAGGGAAAAGGACAGGGAAAAAGAAAGGGGGCATTACGACTAGCATGTATAGTGTGCGGGGGGGGCGGGGGCACGGGGAGGGCTGTGCAACACAGAGAAGACAAGTAGTGATTTTACCGTATCTTACTATGCTGATGGACAGTGACTGTGAAGGGGTATGTTGGGGGGACTTGGTGAAGTAGGGAGCCTACTAAACATAATGTTCTTCATGTAATTGTAGATTAATGATACCAAAAATAAATCAATAGCAGATTAAGTTCAATGTAAGCAGAAGCAGAAGAGAACTAATAAATGTAAGAGTAAAAGTTAATCAATTAAAAAATAGGCAAACAGTAGAAAAATTAATGAAATTATAATAAATGTCATTAACTTTTCATAATTCACCTAGAGTTAAAATTTTACCACTTCATACAGAATATAGAATCCTTACAAGAGTGGTCCATTTACCATTCCCTAGCGTCCTTTATGCTGTAGTTGCCATATGTAATCCATCTATATACATTATAAACTCCACAAAATAATGTTATGATTTTTTATTTAATCATTCTTACATATTTTAAAGGAAATAAGTGAAAATAGTCTTTTATATTTACCCAGCTATTCGAAATTTCTAGTGTTCTTTATTGGCTCATGACAATCTGTTACCTTATTGTGTCATATTTCCTCAGCCTGAAGAATGTCCTATAGTATTTATTTTAGTGCATGTCTGCTGGTGACAAATAATTTTAGTTTTATTCTGGATTGATTTTTTTTGTTGTCAGCTCTTTCAAGAGGATATTCCATTGTATCCAAGCCTCCATATTTACTGATGAGAATCCATAATTACCTGAATGAGACACAACAGTGGTAGCATTTTGAGTCTATGGGGAAATGATTGCCTTTCTAATAAGTGGTGTCGAAACTATTGGGTGTCCATGTGTACAAAGGAAACTTAACTCCTCCCTCACACTACCTACAAAAATCAATTCCATAGTTCTTTTTCAGATAGTGTGAGAAGGTTAAATTTATCATAAACCTACATTGGTACCTTGGTAAGCCCAAGAAATGGTGGAGGGCTTGATGGATTTGTGCAGTGAGACTAACTCTAAGGAGAGGTTGGGAAACTATGTCCCACAGAATAGTGACCTGTATTTGTAAGGCCTGAAAACTAAAAGAGCTTTTACATTTTTTAAGGGTTATTTAAAAAAAAAAGTAAAGAATATGCAACAGAGACCACGTAAGGCCTGCAAAGCCTTAATTATTCACTAGCTGGCCCTTCACAGAAAGAGTTTGCTGTCCTCTGCAACTAGGACTGAAGATATTCTCACCCATATTAGTTCCTAGTTATTGAAAGAGCATTTTCTAGAAACCTCACTGTGGTCCTATGTGAACTTCCTCTTCATGGGGATGGCTTCACTGAATTAATCATATGATGGTTCCAAGTAGCATTTATGTTAGGCCAGGCCTCAGAAGTATAATGGAATAATTTCTAGACACAAGTTATAACTTTGTCTATGGCAAGACATTACACAAAACCAGCAGAAATCACTCCTGAAGGACAGGCAGAGGACTAGTGAATCGGGGGTGGGTCATCCTTTCTGGAGAGCCTCTTGGGCCACTATCACACAGAATCAAGGGCTTCGTCCTGGAGTTCCAACTACAGGAGTTTCTATCTTCAGTCTTTGTTTCTCAAAGGACAGCAAACAGAAGGAGAGACAACGAAGAATACAAGAGGCCGCTGGGATCTTAGTTCCGGGACTATCATGAAGTCAAAATGAAGCTGGAAACTACAGAAGCAGGATGCTGATTTTGAGAACTCTGTTAGGTTCTTTTAGATCTCTTGTTCCTGCAAGTGACAGCCCTGATATGCCCTGAATGTTCCTCAGCAGAGTTGTATCCTTAAAATAAGATTTGTCTGGGTGCTGGGCAACTGGGGTCCAGGACAGGGAGGAGCAGGGGGTGGCTACCAGACCTCCTTCTGCAGCTAGATTTTGGAAGAGAACACGCTTCCAATGAACAAAGCTGGAACAATTTAAGCAACAAAATATAGTAGTATTGGATTATAGCACAAAGGATAAAATACATATATCCATGAGTCCATACTGATATAAATAAATGGTTGAATAAATAAAGGGCAAGTGACAAATCTCCCATGCAAAGAATTCCAAACAGTTTAGACACTGAGCTTTCAAGGAGAGAGAGCATAACTCTCTGCTTCTAAAGTGAGGGCTGTTCATAGTGAGTTCCTTCCCGAGAGTACAGGGTAAGAGAAAGGGGAAAAAAGTAGCTTTGTAGTGGAGAGAGCTGACAAATACTACCTTAGCCAGGTAATCAAGGTTAACTTCAACACTAAGTTCTGTTGACAGAATGCACCCTTGATATGTGATGAGAATAGCATTGACCTCTGTGGTCTTCCTCCCATTAATCACAGCCCCGGTCTAAGCCTGAGAAAGCCATGAGGAAAGTCCAGAGCAAGGGCATTATACAAAATATCTGACCAGTATTCCTCAAAACTATCAAGGTCATCAAAAACAAGGAAGGTCTGAGAAACTGTCTCAGCCCAGAGCCCAAGGAGACAAGGCAACTAAATGCAACATGATGTCCTGGATGGAATCCCGGAACACAAAAAGGACATTAGGTAAAAACAAAGAAGAATTGATTCAAGTGGAAACTGTAGTGAATCTGATGTATTAGTATTGGTTCCTTAATTGTGCAAATGAACCATCCTAATGTAAGATGTTAACAGTGGGTGAAACCAGGGGAAGGAGATATGGGAACTCTCTGTACTCTTGGCAACTTTTCTGTAAATATAAATCTATTCTAAAACTAAAACTTTATTAAAAAGTAAATGACACCACAAAAATGGAAGAATTAGGTGGGTAGAGGACAAGAGATGGACTGAAGATTGTAGGTAGTTTGAATGTCAGGTTTACGGACATGGGCTTTACACCTCATCTGGTAATATGTGTTAAAAAGTGATATTGTATAGGATGGGGAATGGGGAGGATTTCAGAGACAAAGTAAGGGACAGATATTTGATAAAGTGAGGGTGAGGCATGAGGGAGGCTCATATATGGTGTGAGGACTAGAGAGTAGGTGTGGGGAAAATTGTTTTGTACATCAGTTGGTAAGAAAATAGTGTTTTTGTTCATTTGTTTACAACGGAAGAGGGATGATGCTCCTCTGATACAGTCAAGGTTTGGGAGGGAATGCGGTAGAAGCTGCAGTGAGAGGAAGGTACAGAGAAAAGCCTGGACTTCAGGTGCCAGACACAGGTGTGCTGGGGCAAAAAGAATTACCGCTCCTATTACTTGGTAATAATGTGACAAATAATAGCGTTATTGAATCCCTTTCTGTGGTAATCTGTGTACAGTCATTTCAATTGGTCTACATGTTCTGCAAGCAGGTAAGGTGTTCTGTCTTTTCACTGAGAAGTATGCTTGTGCATGAAGTCACCACGCAGGAGATAGGGTGGGCCAACAGGCTGGGCCTCGGAGGCTGCCTCATATCTAGGGGCTTCTCATCCCCAGTTATCACACTCATCATTGACATTCTCAAAGCTCTACATTAGGGTGTCCAGGGGAGAGGTATTATACAAGGACTTCATAGAAGAGTTGAGCAGCGCTGTATTACCAGCCATTGTACCAACATAGTATTCAGGATCTAGGTCAATGCTTTCAGGGTCCCTAGACCCTCACCAACTCCCTAACTAGACCTCCTCCTGCACCTTGCATTAAGGTCATCTGATCATCTAGGCCTGTGGTCCTCACCCCTGACTGCCTGCCTGGTCAAATCACACAGGGAGCTTAAAAACAAACACCAATGCCTGTACTCTGTACCCCAGATTCTAATTTCATTAGTTTGAGATGGAACCCTGGCAACAGAATTAAGAAACGTTCCCCAGGTGAGAACCACCAGCCTAATGCCTGCTTTCTGCCACCTACTTCCAAGTACTTTCCCAGTTTCAATGACACTTGCCGCCGTGACCTCAGCTGCCTATTCCTGTGGGTTGTCGGAGTCTTCCTCCATCTGAACTGGAGATGACTGCTGCGCACTGGAGGCAAGGGGCACCCAGTTTGGGTCCCGTCTGGATACCCTGGCCAGGTCCTGATTATCCTTCAAAGCCCCTACGAAAGCAGGAAAGTGTGGTGAGCCAACCTCAGAGAAGGAAGCAGAGGAGGAGCCCAAGCGGGCCTCTAGTGTCGGCACTGAGTCAGGGAGGAGAACCCTGGATGCAGCAGTGGTGACTGGGAGGCCTCTGGAGGCTCCTTTGCTGTCTGTGGCCCCTGCATGTGTTGGCACTGCCTGTGTGCCCTGACTGTTTCCCCGTCTGATGCAGAGTGACACCCTTCAAGCTGGATGGTCGGGATGCCAGCCATCTGGGGCCCAGGAAGGGAGGAGCTGGGGTGGCTGGGCCCCCTCTGCAGCCCTGCTCCCCGGGTGTGGGGACAGAACCCAAAGGTGGAGTAGGAGGTGGCAGCTACAGGGAGAGGAGGGAGGAGGCCGGTCAGGTCTTACACCAAAGAGAGGGAAGGGGAGCATCGGGGGACCAGGTGGGCCTGAGAGGGGCCCGGGCTGCCCAGCCAAAGAAAGGCTCCGCGGGTCTCCAAGCCAGGCCCTGATGGCCAAGAGAAGGTGAGGGGGTCCGGTAGGCAAGAGTCAGGGAGGGTGTGCCCCTGTCGTCTGAATACCAAGGGCCTGCAGCCACCAAGAAGCTCCATGGGTGGGGGTCCCGCAGGGTGGTGCCTTGGTGAGCAGAGAGCGGTGCTGGGCCCGGCCTGCAGCCTCTGCACCCTGGTTATGACCCAGGGGATGCCCCCACCAGCCCGGAGCCGGCCTCTCTGGGACACCACTTCCTGACCTTCCAGCTGTGGGTGTTAAATTGTGTGTGTCACAAACCCCACGTGCTGACAGCTGCGTGCAAATGCACCAAAATCGCCTTCACATATGACTCAAGGGGTTTCATTCTCACAGAACCTCCCTGCCCTTCCCCTAAACCCCCAGGTTACGCAGCCCCTCTCTATTACCCTTACCCCCAACTTGGAGTTTCACTCCCACCCTCTGCGCCGGTGTCATATGCCCCAGTTACCGCTAGAGGCCGACCGAGACCCGGCAAGCCGCCTGACCTCGTCCGGGGCCGCGCTGACACCTTTGCAAGGCTAAGTTAGTCCTCGCCCGGCAGCAGCACGTAGGGCTCAGGACAAACCCGCGCCCCGCTCTCTTCCCCTCCCGTGTCACACACACCCGGTGAACGAAGGCTGCAAACCACTCCCTGCTCGGCCCTGGGACGGTCTCCCTTTGCAATCTTCTCCCCTCCCTGATCGCGCGGTGCGAATGAATGTTTCCACCCACCAAACACCAAATCGGACAGGGTAGGTGCTGCGACTGTAGCTGACCGGCTGTCCCTGCCGGTCCCTGCCCCTCATTCGTGCTGCCTCCCTTCCCACCTGGTGGGGGCTGGCGGCCCAGGTTCTCTTTTGACCTCAGCGTAACGCAGCCAACTAGGATACTGTGGGCGGGGCTACGATCATGGGCCACATCTTAGTAGCTGTGTGCCTTCAAAGTCCTTACTGAGCCTCTCGGTGCCTGCGTCACTGTGTACAATGAGAATTGTAATAGTACCTAGCTCATGCAGTTATTATGGGAATGAAATGAATCAGTATTTGTGAAACATTTGTAACAATACCTGGCACATATTGAGTACTCAGTACATATTAGGTATCTTAGTTTGTCACCTGGGACCTTCACAGTGAGGCCTCAATGATTATGGGTGTTACTTGGCACTCCCCATTTAGAGCTCCTAGATTCTGACTAGGGACTGTGTTCCTGGCTTCTTCAACTGTGTCTGGCATGTGTGCAATGCCTTTTGATTCTGGTTCTCTACACAGCCTTCTTCATTTTGGTGGTGGTGTCGGTTTTGCTTTGAGGTGAGATGGACCTGACAGTGTATTACTTGAGCCCTACTGTTCTATGGGAACATGGGGGAAAGTAGAAATTCCCTCCTGCTACAGATAGAAAACCTTCCCCTCTTGTGTAAATATTTGACTCTGGGAGCACACTTCAGGCCCTGTGCATAAAATGCTGCCCTGGGGACAATTTCCTGGCTTCTACCCAGCAAGTTTGTACCCTACCCACTCCAATACACAGTTCTGTTTGACAAAACTTACACAGCTTCCTGGTTTCCTCATTCAACTACTTTTCAACCCCCAAATTTTGGACTGTCTTAAATACTCTGTATGTTAACTATACTGAGTTGTTCACTGTCCCAGTTGAATTGGAAATGAAGGCAGTCCCATAAGGGCAGATCTTCAGTGTAGATTCAGGCACCTTCCCTGAAAAGCCAGCCTGCAGGCCCATTGCAGAGCTCACTAAACCAGAAGGTGTCAAATGAGACGTGTCCATACGATGACTCTTTTGCTAAGAAATTAGGTATAAATTCAAGAAATACAACCAGGTGTATATAACTAATTAATGTAACTCAAGAGTAATTTCAGGGAGTACAAAAACAAGGCCCAGTATCAGGAAGGTGCTTGCAAATGTTAAGACTGACCAGATAGTATATGATCAGGTTGGATAGTTTCATTAGCATGTCCCTCTCTGCCAATGGCTGAGGCCACCCACCCTCCAAGAATCAGGGCACACATCCAGATTTTTGTTAAGATAGGCTAGGTTATTCATACCAGCCCTTCCTCTGTAAACAACTTTCAAAAACCTGTACAAATTAAACAATATCTTCTTTAAACAACTGCAAAGCTGAAAAGGAGGTATGGCATTACCTGGCCAAAATAAAGGGGAAATGAGAGACCAAAAGAGAGAGATGAGGACTGGCACCCACTTTTGCCATGTGAATATTTTCCAAATCAGAAAATTCTTTTGATAAACCTCTCAGGATAAGAGGAACACAAGCCCAAACAAAGGTCAAGGTGCATACAAAGCAGGGAGCCTAACACAAGAGCCTTCCTTCAATTAAGCTCAAAAAGTGTCCCCACAGGGTGTAGGATGTGGCCCAGCCCTTCCACAAAATTTTATCTTAGGCTCTAAAGCCTGATATATAGGGAACCCTAAGCCTCAACTGAGAAGATCCTCCAGCATCTCCCAAATACTCCATTTCGCAGAGGCAATAGAAACCCTCTCTGGAGGAACAGGACTCCATCCTCGCCTGAAGTTCTTGGCTAGAGACAATTGCTAAAGTATGATGACCAAGACAACCAGGCACATAAACAAGCCAAAAAAAAAAAAAAAAACAGAAAAGAGAGAAACATAAAATTCCAGTTAATGGAATTCTTAGATACAGATCATAAAACAACAATATTTGTGATGTTTAAAGATATAAAAAAGGAAATCTCACCTCTGATCAGTGCAGAATAACAGAAACCAATTTACCCTTATGCCTAAACAACCAAAAACTACAAATAAATGAAACACGGCTTATCAAGACACTGGACAAGAGGTTACAAGGGATAGTGGCCCCTAAAAATGGACAACAGTGTAGTCCCCACAATTATCTTAGCTGTCTGCCTTGAAACAGTTTCCACATTTCCTTAGCAGAGCCTGGTGGATTTCCTGAGTTGAGGAGATGGAAAGGAGTGTTGGGAAGAATAGAGTGACTCAAGTTTGCTGAACAGGGAGTGGACTGCATAGACAGAGAACTGAAGAGATCTGCGGGCACATGTATAGTGCATGAAACTACCCAAGATTGGGAAAGAGCTATCTAAACGGACTTGTGGAAACAGTGTCCAGCACTCATACTGGGCTGAGAAAAGAACCTATTCCTACCTGCCAGACTTGAAAATATCAAAATTGAGGAGCATTGGTTAGCATACTCAGAAAGTTCTTGCCTCAGCAGTGGGGAATAATGACTCCTGCACTAAACATGGTTCTGGTGCTATCTAACAAATCCACAGTCAAACTGTTTCCAAGTAACTAAACTGCATCCTAGTAAAAAGGTCCAAAATATTTCAAGAAATACAAAATTTCCAGTACCCAACATGGTAAAAGTCATAATGTTTGGCATCAAACAAAACATTAGGGGCATACAAAGATTCCGGTAAATACAACCAATAGTGAGGGAGAGCCAAGTGAAATTGACCTGAATCTGACAGAGATGTTAATATTGGCAGAAAAGGGAATTAAAACAACCATTATAACTATATATCTGTGTTCAGAGGATAAAAATGGACATGAAAGATATAAAAAGAGGTCAGATCAAAATTCTATAAATGGAAATTATAATATTTAAAATAAAGACTATGCTGGACAGGATTAACATCACATTAACCATGGCAAAATAGTAGTGAACTTGCAGACATAGCAATTGAAGCTGTCTGTCTGTCTGTCTTCTGTCAGACTTTTGAGTTCATCCTAATACCTCCAGTTCCAAGCTAATAAAACACGGCTCTATTTAGTATTCCCCATTTCCTATTTGTAACTACCTTCTCTGATAATGAGAAACTTGGCCTCTGTTATCCACAGTGTATTTACTTTTTTAATTAATACTAGAATTTGCAGAGGTGGTTTCTGAATTGATAATATGTAACTGTAAAAAACATACTTACCTTGGATACCAACACAACATTCATTTTTGAAGTAGCCTTAGAAAGAATGTTAAATATAGGTGTATGTCTCTATTATGTATCCACATTTACATATACATGTATTGATGTACATGTGTGTATATTACATACACGTTTCCTAGCTCCGTCCGTGGAGAGAGCCTAGAAACATGACACCACACTAGCAATGAGCATAGTTATTGTTCACATCTTATTTCAGAAGTAGCATTTTCTACCACGAGGAATCAAAGTTCTTTGGAGAACTGGCTGATCTCACGGAGGGGACTGGGAAAATACATGATGACTTTTGAATTCCATGCTGTTGAGAAAAGAAGAAAGTGGTCAAAGAATGGTGGGAATGTGTCAAAAAGACAGAGAAGTCAGATTGAAGTGTGTACCAATGGCCAAATCAGGAACTCTCTGAATATCAGTATAAATAATGGCAAAGAGATAATAATCCACTGAAAAAATAATCCATGATATTGAAATAAAAAAAATAAATGTGAAAGAAGGAGAAATTCTTCCTTACAATGGAAAATGAACTAATAAGTGTGGATGA